GATTAGTTTGGTTCAGTTCGCGAATGACGTCCGACACGGAAGCTTCCCGAGGCCGCCGGGTCACCGAAGAAATTCGTATGAGGGGAGAAATAACCGTTAACCACTTTGAAAATGAATTTCAAGTCTTGCAGTCTTGGGTCCGCGACGTTGCGCAGGCCACTTTCCCTCGACCGTTTTACAGCCTGTCCTTCGCTCGCACTCGTTCCTACATTCGCTCTTCTCAAAAATACCTTAACCTACGGTAAAAATTCCGGATACCACAGTTGCCCAAGATTAATAGCATCGGGCGAATTACAGCGACTGTTAAGTGATTTCTGTTCCATGTCATAAAGTTAAGTACCAGATCCACTACTAACAATAAGTGTTGCTAACTGAATTCATTTAACCTGTCTGGTACGTTAACTCTTCCCAGGCGGTTGGTTGTCGTGGTAATGCTCGTATTCCGCCGGCATTATCATTAGGATTCAACCGCGTAATCATCGTTAACGTTTGCAAATAAGCTCGCCGAGTTTGGAATATTTATTCATTACCTCGCTGCCAGGGAATCTCCTACGCGGCTCGCCCTTAAAAGCATTCACTGCAAATGACACTTAATCGCGTTTCCGTCTTTTAACGCGCAAACAATTCGCGCCGGAATCCGTATCATAAATCACTCTTGCCGGCCGAGCAACAACATCGAAATAAAGAAGGGACGATCCGTCTGTTCCGAACGTTATTGCACACTCATCGCCTATGATGAATCAGTCCGTAGAACGTGTTTCGCGAAATCTGTGGTAGGCGTGACGTTATCAGTTCCGATCTCCGGTCTGAATGAATCGCGCCGGGGAATACGGTTTTCTATTATAGTTTCTTTTGAAACGCGAGCAGCAAGAACCGAGGCGAGACGAGAAAAGCAAGAAGTAGAAAAATGTGTCTTCCACGGTTCGCTATCTTCCCTCGGATAATTCGGAAATTTGCACCGCGAGCTGCGTCCAGTTTCCCCGTCGGATAAGTGCGTCACGGGATAAAGTGAAATTACTGTATCGCGTTGCTAACATTGATTAAACATTGAAAAATATCTTGTTACCGAGGAAAATGTAAACTCGCTGGATCGCGGTTCGATCCGGCCGCGCCGCGCCGCGCCGCGCCGCAGGAAAATAAGCTATCCTGTTACGTATTTATCCATTGTTCAATCACGCCCCCGCAAACCCCTCGGAAACATCGGCGGAGCAACCGCCGCCGAAGGAAAGTAACAAAGAAACCGGAACGTGCAATTTCATCGCGCTTTGAAATATGAGCGAGCCGTACGTAGGTAGGCAATGTTGCGCACCGCCTCAGTTAACGTTCTTATTAAAAGTACGTTACAAGACGAGGGTGGTTTCTGGTTTCACACTGCGGCTCCCCGAGCCCGGCCGTTTTCATAGATTTCCACGGCGCAATAAGCAGCATTCTGAACGTAATTTACGCCGGG